GGGGGGGGGGGGGTCCAAAAGTCAGATTTGACAGTATGCCTGATTCACTTTGAACGATTCAATTAAAACCTTAGAATTTATTTAATGTTTGTGTTTTAAGGTGATCCATTTATGACTCCAGCAGTTTTCAGATTTTCTTTACAATCACATCCCTGTATCTCACAGCTCCAATGGGTGCTCTGTTGTTGATGCTGAATGTTGCACAGTGTTCCTCTGGTGGTGAGAAAGCAAACAAAAGTCCTTAAAGTACATAGCTCCATAGTGGGACTAACAGTTCTTCTAATCCTCAGAAATGTCAGTGTAATCACAAACTGACAGCTTCAGAACAATCAGAAGAGCTGCAGCCTAAAACATCCACGTCTTAAATGATAAACACAAACTGAATTTAGAGTTTTAAAATATTGTATGGGGCAGCACGGTGGCGCGACTGGAAGAGCTGCTGCCTCTCAGCGAGCAGATCCCTGGTTCAAATCCCGGTCCAGGGGCCTTTCTGGGTGGAGTTTGCATGTTCTCTCTGTGCATGCGTGGGTTTTCTCCGGGTACTCCGGTTTCTTCCCACAGACCAAAAACATGCATGTTAGACTGATTGGTATCTCTAAATTGTCCCTAGGTGTGAGTGAGAGAGGGAATGGTTGTTTGTCTCTATGTGTCCCTGTGATCAAGATCAAGATGGCCGCGCTCAGAGCAGTTGCAGCTTCACAGGCTCCCGGTACCATCCCAGTTTTTAGAAGTTTTGATATTGACTCTGTGCCTGACTCCGCGTGATTTATGCGTGTGAACTATAGCCGAACCGAACTGATGAGAATAGGAGCGGATTTGCCATGAAATATAGCAGAAATCAGCAACAAACTCAAAGCTACGCTCGGCAGAATGCAGATCTTAAAGTCATCTACCTGGAAGCTGCAGCAGAGGCGTTCCAGCGGGCAGAAGAGGAAGCGCTGCTCCCGGCTTAAGAGGAGAGGATGCCGGGCGGGGGTTATGGTGAGGCTACGAGCTAACGCTAAAGCCGGTAAACTCCCCATGCCGTCTCTCTTTCTGTCGAATGTCCGCTCGTTGGACAACAAGATGGATTTACTTCATCTGAGAGCGGGCACCTCAGAAGAGATGAAGAAGTGTGCAGTGCTTTGCCTCACGGAAACGTGGATTACAAGCGAAACGCCGGACTCAGTCTTCCAGCTGGATGACAGACTTTTTTTTCGAGCGGACCGCTGCAGCGAGCTAACGGGGAAATCACGGGGGGGCAGAGTATGCATTTACGTGAGTAAGAGTTGGTCCACGAACTGTACTGTTGTAAATAGCTCATGCTCGAAGGCTTTGGAGCAAATAACAGTGAAATGTCGGCCACATTATCTACCCCGAGAGTTCACAGTGACTTTTATCACAGTTGTTTACATTCCTCCGGACGCTAATGCTAATGAAACACTGCAGGAGCTTCATGATATCATCAGCTCGCTGCAGAACAAATACCCCAAGGCTCTTTACGTTGTAGCCGGAGACTTTAACCACGTGAATCTAAAGGACTGTCTCCCAAGCTTTAATCAACATGTGACGATTCCGACACGTGGAGGCCACACGCTGGACCGTGTTTACACGAACGTAAAAAATGCATACAAAGCCGAACCCCGCCCCCACCTAGGACTGTCAGACCACATCTCAATCTTCCTGGCTCCTGCTTACATGCCCCCGCTGAGACGCTCCAGACCGGTACAAAAGAAAGTTAAATGTTGGAGCCAGGACAGTGGCCCCATACTGAGAGATTGTTTTGATCGAACAGACTGGCAGGTTTTCAGAGAAGCTGCTGAAAATGGAGGTTCGCTTGATCTTGACCAATACACATCCTCAGTACTGGGTTACATTAGTACATGTACTGACAC